GGGAGGAGGTGCCCCGGAAGATCTTCCGGCGCATCTCCGCCCCGCGGTGTGGTGTTAGGCAACATCTTAAACTACTTAAGAGCGCCGTAAAGAATAATAAACATCTCAATAGTACGCGTATTTGTCTTGGCGTCGGGACCGCGTAATCGTTACTTGGCGATACTTACGGGGCTTCCCCCCGTTTGCTTCTCCCCTTCCTCCCCCTCTCCTCCACGCGCGCAGCAGCTCCCGCTGCTCCTCGCGCATTTCTCGCGCCGGCGTCTCGCGCGACCTGCTGCTCTCCCGCGAAGGTGAGACGAAGGTGCGGAGGATGAAAGAGAGAGGGCCGTTTACGCGCGGTAAGTCGGCCGATTTATGGCAGTCCGAAATTTATAGGTTCAATTTCCGCGATATTTAAACGACTCGGGGCTAAATCCTCGCCGCCACCTCGCCGGCGTCTGCGCGCACGCGCGCGCACCCCGCGGCGAGATTTTTCACCTCCTTTTTTCGTTCCTCGTCATTCCAGGCTTGCCTTGTAATAAAATCGTTATGTCGTTGCCCCCCTCTTCCCCCTCCTCCTCCTCCTCCCCGCGCTCCTCCACGTCGTCGCAGCCGCGCGTTCTAACGCAACCGTGCGCTCCCGGATCTAATCGCGCGTGTCGCATCGCCGAGTTGAAGAGATCAACAGCTCGGATGAGAACGTTCCTCCAGCGCTTCTTCAACGTTATCGTAAAATGTTTTTGCGCGTATCGTATCGAGCGGTGATTATCGTTGCGCGATGCCTGCATCTCCGTGTATTTTCGCTCGACACCGCCGCGCCGCGGAGAGCCGCTTCACCGCGAGTAGAGAGAAATCCGTTTATAATATGCATAATGGTATCTTAGGAAGAAAATAAAGCACCCGTTTGTGCCCGTAAATGAATTTTCACCGTCTACAGCCGGCGCACCGTACGCGCGCGCGCGCGCGCGCGTGTGTGTGTGCACATAATATATCTGATAAACGCTGCTTTTATATTTGTAATGCGGTATTTGTCGAAATATTGTGGCGCCCAGAATATGCGCGCACTCTAGAAACGACCTCGAAATGGAGTTTTCGCAGGGCTGTGTGCGCGCGCACGCAATACAACAGCCTTGTCAAATATACATGCGGGCGTAACACGTGCTCGGAGAGAGCAGCGGCGAATATACGCGCGCGAGCGGGGATATTAATTTAAATCGCCATTATTCCGCGCACGCGACATTAAAACGGTTAATGCGAATGAATGATGTTAAATATTTCGACCTCGGCCGGGAAGAAGAAAGAGAGAGAGAGAGAGAGAGAGAGAGAGAGAGAGAGAGAGAGAGGGGGGGGAGGAAGCGATAGATGGCGCGAGATGGCAGAAAAATGCGAGAGAAATAACCGATAAGGAATTTTTTTTAAAGCCGCGCTCTCGCCGTATTTTCCTCGCACGAATTCTCGCGAATGTGCGCGTTGCGTGGTCGTAATTCGATGCCTCTAATGGCACATTCTTTCTTTCTCTCTCCCGCCTCCTCCTCTCCCTCCGTCCTCCACCTCATTTGGAAGCAAAATCAATTTAAATATAGTTCGTTAGCCTGACTCGCCTGTTATCTCCCAGAGGAAAGAAACGCAGTTACCGCGACGACGAGTCTCGGAAACCTCCTAGGAACTACCGCGCGATGCGTATGGTATGTCGCGCGCTATGCAAATTGAATTTACGTAATAAAATTGCGCGATTCCGTCCGTCCTTGTTGGAGCTCAGAGCTCGGAACTCGCGCGTGCAACAAGGGGAAGAAACGAAGAGAGAGAGAGAGAGAGAGAGAGAAAGAGGGAAGGCGAGTCTAGATGTATGTGTATGTCTGGTGTTGCGCGGAAGCGAGCGGGCTATCTCTCTCTCTCTCTCTCTCTCTCTCTCTCTCTCTCTCTCTCTCTCTCTCTCTCTCTCTCTCTCTCTCTCTCGCCCTCGAGTAACGTCGGCGCGGAAGCGCTACGAGTGCTACACGAGCGCGGAGGTAAACCCCCAGGTGTCCGCCTCATCTCGAGAGCAGCGGGCTCGTGTTACAGGGCGTAGAGGGGCTGCCGGAGCATTTCCTGCCCTTTGTCTTGGGCGATTCGCGCGGAAATCGTTCGCTTGCACGAGCCGACGTGGGGTATTTCGCGAGGCTCGTCGCGAGCGTGCGCGGCGCCGCCCGCGAAACCCCTTCGTTGCGGATTACCGAACGATCGTCGCGACGGGACGCATGCACAGTTGCACCGACGAAAAATTAAGGAAGAGAGAGAGAGAGAGAGAGAGAGAGAAGGAGGAAGAAGCGAAAGCACGTGGGCGCGTACGAGCACGAGCAATTTGTAAGCGTGAGATAAGTAAGCGACCGGCCAAGTGCAAAGAGCGCAAGAAACTTGGGCTTTCCCTCCCTCGGCGAGCCGGAGCGCGTTCCTCCGACACTTTGTCGCCGAGCGGGCTTTTCACGTGAATCTTGCCGCCGTGGATTCTCAGGCAAACCTCCCACAGACGCGCGCTTCTCTCCCGCAACACTGCCGACGAGATATTATTTTGCAAGAACAAGCTGCGCTCGCAATAGTTAATTCTCGACGCGGCTTTCCCGTTCCGTGCTCAAGAGCCGTTGCGTAAGGATACGCGAGGAATCGTCGTCAGGTGAGGTGACTCAATGGTCCTCACGAGTCACCTGAGAGCCAGGAGACATCCTTTCCACATCGTGTCGCGTGTACTGTGATGCGTGCGCGCATCCCTCCGAAGGGATGATGATCCCCCTGATTTTCGTCACACTTTCGCGTCCGGGCCGTCGACTGACCGTCTTTATGGCTCGGAGAAGGCCGTCGACGTTGCTCCGAATCCTGGCCTGTCCTCGGTAACGTACGAGCTCGTGCGACTCGCGGGAAGAAAACCAGGCGGGGCAGGCGGAGACGGAGGCGGGAGCAGGAGGGGCGGGGGGGGGGCCAGAGAGCAAGGGAAAGGGAGGAGCGAGAGCGAGCGAGAAGACGCGAGACCGGTTGTACGTGGGTGTACGGAAAAACGGCCAGTCTCGGAGCGATACAAGCGCGCGCTCCGCTGGCGCGACGGCTCGAGCTCGGCATAAAGCCATTGTTACGCGCGCTCTGCATCCCGCATCCTGTGCACGCTCTCGTACACACGCGCTATCATCCCCCGCGCTGTATCACGGCTCCGCACCTTCGGCGTCTCGCTCTAGCGAGCGCGGAGCGACGCGTCTCTCTCCTCTGTCAATTATGCAAAATCGTCGCGGCGGCGGCGGCGAAGTCGCGTTTTCGGAAAGCGTGGCGAGACGCCACGCGAGAGCCGTCGTCCTTGCCTTCCGCGAAGCGCGCCAACGCGTCCCCGGGACGCTTCCTTCGGAGAGCATTTAGGCCGAGTCAAGGCCTCTCGCTCGGGGATAAGCCGGAGGGAACACTCGCGGCGGCGGAATCCTCGCTCGCGAGCCGCGAGTGCGTCGTCGCGTGAACTCGCTCTCGCTCTCGCTCTCGCGCGCCGTGAATGTATCTTTGCTTTGTCGCTCGATAGGTTACAGATGTTTCAACAGGTTGTAGATACTCCGATGGACTATAAATATTCATCGGAATA